TGGGAGTGTCCAGTGCCTTAACCACCACACCACCTGCTGGTCCTCAGTACTTCTTATTTTCAGTATCTCATAAGACCAATTGTTTTTATGTTCTCCCTTATGCAAAGTAAACCTATTTAAAAATTATTTATGGGCGACATTCTCCCATCTTTCCTAAACACAATCACCTTAAAATAAACCCATAAGCTCTTTCCACAGGTAACAATATTTAAAAAAAAAAAAAATAACAAAAACCTCAAAAAGTTTATCCATTTGTATAATCCTATGTTTCAGTAACTATGATTCTTCATGACAATTTCTAACAGTATTTACAGTTGCAAAAGGCTCTCAAATTCCTTCCATTTACCGGGATAAAGAACTATTTTTTTAAAAAGAATTATTTATTTAATATTATTACTTTTAAATTTGCTATAGAATACATGCACTGGAGAGACAGAGAGAGAGTGAGAAAGCAAGCTACCAGGTCTGGGACTCAAACCATGGTCAGTCATGTGGGAGACCAGTGCCTCTACCACCATGCCAGCTGCTGGCTGCAAGAACTACTTTTTTTTTTTTTTTTTTTTGAGGGGTTTTGCCACAGGGGGCCTGCGGCTCCTACAACTACAGGGCGCATGCGCTCACTAGAAAGAGAGAAAGAAAGACAGAAAGCAAGAAATCACCTCCCCGGGATGGCTACACCACAATCCCCCTTCTCCTCCATTTTCCTCTTGGGATCTTGGGCACGCATGCACACGTGCCTGGTGTGAGTTTAAGCTGTGAGGTCCAGGACTCAAACCGTGGTCGACTACATGGGAGTCCAGTGACATAGTCATTACACCAACTGCTGGCCCCTCAAGAACTACTTTTAAGAACAGATCCACACACCTTTTGCTGTAGTTCTTTTACTGCAGAATCTCTATCCATGCACGCCTGTCGGAAGGCTTCATAAGCTTTATTGAGCTGTTCGCCAATGTTTTTATCCATTCCCCTTTGTCCTGTAGCATCACTATAAACAATGGAGTAAGTGGCAGATCTGGAAAATAATTAGAACAATTTAGATAGTTACAAAGTTACATAAACCTAATTTTAAAACTGCACCTTAAAAGACAATTCTATGAAGTTTACCATGAGCATTATAGCACCAAGCACTTATAAAGGTTTAGAATGGGATAAAAATCTCATCTAAAATTCTTATCAGAAATATTATGAAACCTTAATGTCTACAAATTTTTAATATTCTTTTCTAACATGCAAGAAACAAGGTTCCAGTTCATGAAGATGCTGCTTTGAGAACAGTAATCTATAAATGTAACCTTAAAATGGAGAAATATAAAAGGCCATTTTATTATTAATACTTTATTATAGAAATGTATGATAGGATTAGCAATGTGGGAAGGGATTTCTTTTTACTAAACAGACAGTTACTCCCACTTACAAGGTGAATTCTTGCTACACTGAAATTAGAACAAAATTAAATAGATAATAAATGTTTGTGGGTGAAGTTCACACTGTTGTTATCACAGAGCAATTAAAATGTGTGAAAATGCTCTTATTTTAGTACAAAATCTAGGGAGAGCTGCTGTTGGATTATACATTAAAAAAGAAAAAAAAAATCACATCCTTCAGCCCTATCCCCACTACCTATTAGTTTTCCAACTTTCCTGCTGTTTCTGAACTACAGGTGATTTGCTCAGTGGAGGTAATTTAGCTTTATCATCTCAGTTTCATAACATCTCCAACCACATTCCTTGGCTCTTAACAGAAAGCTAACTAATAACTCTGATTCTTCCTAATCAGCTATAAAAATTACAATACAGAACATTTCTCTTAATCCTTTAAAATTCACAGAATAAACAAAGTTCTCTATTGGTTATGGTGGACACTAATTATTTAACTTTTTAGGAAATCCTTCATAATCTGTATCTGCTGTAACATCTTTCATTTTATCTTGGGCACTCAATGCTTTTTAAAAAATTAGCATTTTCAAATGAGAATTAATTCATATAAGATTGTTTTCAAGCAAACACATCAGTACTTTTTAGCCTATTTACTATGTTGTACAACCATGATGCAACATAATTCCAGAATATTTTTATCATCCCCAAAGAAACGTTATACCTATTAAAAGTTAGTTCCAATTCCCCTCTTCCTTCATCTCCTTGGCAACCGATAAACTATTTTCTGTCTCTAGGGCTTTGCCAATTGTTCACATTTTATATACTGGAATTGTACAATAAATGGCCTCTGTAACTGGTTTCTTTTATATAGCATAATATTCCTGAGGTTCAGCCAAGTTATAGCATGTAACAGTACTTCATCCTTTTTATGGCTGGATAATATTGCATTGTATAATGGGTATACATTATGTTTATCCACTCTTTTGATATATTTGGTTCATTTCCACTTTTGGCTATTATGAATAAAATTACTGTTAACATTTATGTTCATCTTTTTGGGTGAATATATGTTTGCATTTCTCTCAGATAAATGCCTAAGAATGGAACTGCTGGATCAGACAGGTAATTCTACATTTAACTTCTTAAGAAATTTTCAAACTGTTTCCATAGAAGTTGGATTATTTTAGATTTGCACTAGTAATGCTCAAAGGTTCCAAATTCTCCATACCCTTATCATTAACTTATTTTTTCCTCCAATTTGCCAATTTGCCAGAGGGCATGTGCATCTACTAGAGACAGACAGAGAAAAAGTGAGAAAGCACCCCCTCTCCCAAAATCAGGGAATGGTTATAGCACAATCCTTCCCCCCCCCCCTTGTGATTTTGGGTATGCATGCACACACACAAGCTGGGTGTTTTTCAAGCAATCAGTCTGAGATTCAAACTGCTCAGATGACCATCTGGGAGCTAGCTGCCTTACCCACCATGCCACCAACTGGCCCCCAACACTTCTTAACAGATTATTTTTAAATCTATAGCCATCTCTAGATATGAAGTAGGACTTAATAGTGGTTTTAATTTATATTTCCCTAATGACTAATAATGGTGAACATCTTTCTATGTGTTTACTGGCCATTTGAATCTCTTTGGAGAAATGTCTATTACAATCCTTTGCCCAATTGTAAAATTGAGTTGTCTTTTAATTGTTGAGTTGTAAGAATTTGTTATATATTCTAGAAACTAGACCCTATGAGATACTGATTTGCAAATATTTTCTCCCATTCTATAGATGTCTTTTTAACTTTTCGATAATGTATTGAACATTTTAAATTTTGATGAAGTCCAATTTATCTAATTTTTCTTTTGTTGCTTGTATTTTGGTGATGTATGTAAGAAACGCTTGTCTAATCAAGGCTGTGCAGATTTTTTCGTTCATGTTCCCCTTTTTTTTTTAATGTATTTTATTCAGCTTTATTTATTTATTTACTTTATTTGACCAGAGAGGGACAGTGAGAGAGAGGAAAGTGAGAAAGCAAGCCACCAGGTCTGGGACTTGAACCGTGGTTAGCCATGTGGGAGTCCAGCACCCTTATCCACCATGCCACTGCCAGCCCCCATGTTCCCTCTTAAGAGTTTTATAATTGTGGGACCAGCAGATGGAGTATTGGATATGTAACTGGACTCCAATGTAGTTGACTGAGGTTCGAGTCCCAGACCCAGTGGCTTAAACTCACACTGAGCACGTGTGAGTGCGTGCCCAAAATCTCAAGAGGAGAAGGGAGGAGAAGGGACTGAGGTGTGGCCATCGCCCCTGGGCAGTGATTTCTCACTTTCTGTCTCTTGGTCTCTCTCTGTCTTTCTGGAGAGCACGTGCACCCTATTAGCAAAAAAACTCTCAAAAAATAGGAGTTTATAATTTTAACATTTAAATCTAGGTGCTTGACACAAATTGAGTTAGTATTAAATTGGGTCATTGCAAGAATCATGACGCATTTTTGCATAGAAGGACAGAAAAACACGTCATGACTTTTCCAGTGGTCTGATCTTAACATTCTTCTGCACATAACTATCCAGTTGTCCCAGCAACATTTGTTGAAAGGACTATTCTTCTCCCACTGAAGGCCTTGAAACCCTTTTTGAAAATTCACTGACAATGAAAGACAATGCTCTTTTTTTTTTTCTTTAGAGGTTTTTGCTATAGGGGGCGTGCACTCGCCAGACAGAAACAGAAAGTGAGAAATCACCCGCCAGGGGGGATGACCACACCGCAATCCCTTCTCAGGATCTTGGGTACGCACACTCACGTGCCCGGCGTGAGTTTAAGCCACCGAGTCCAGGACTTGAACTGTGGTCGACTATATAGCCATTACACTAACTGCTGGTCCCAAGACAATGCTCTTTTAAATACACAGGTATAAGTTAAGCAACATTTCAATCCTAGCAGCCAAGGTCTTTCATTTTAAGATAGTAACTACACTTCTAAGTCATTTACTAAGCTTAATAAAAACAATTCTAAAGTACTTTCATTATAAGGATCACAATGTCATTACTTTCTGAAGAACTAAATAAATAGTATTCTTTAGGCATTCAACTTAGGAAGTTAGTTTCTACTGCTATCTCTGATAAATGACAAAGATGAAATATTGTTTACATAATTAACATTACTAGGCTCTCTGCCTAGCCATGGACATTATGGAAACATAAACTATTAACATTAATACAAAGTGTCACCTCGAACATTTTATTTATTTAGGCACTATCAGACACTATCTGCTTCAAAGAAAAGTGTTTAAGGCTATTTAAGTATGTAAGTAGGGAAGGGAAATGAACATAGTCACAGAGATTAAAATATACTGGAATACACTAAAGCAAAAATTAGAAGTCTTAAGTATTAATAGCTAAGTGATTAAGTTACCTATCACCATCTTAAAAAGTTGTACATCATGATAAATTGTTAATGTAAGCCACACCTATATTTTAAAATCTGGGACAAGTAAGAATCTTGAACTGGAAATGCATCTTAGTTCTTGGTTTGTTCTATCACTGACAATTAATGGCCACTAAATTTTCTGAGAGCCAAGATTGTTTCTCTACAAAAAAAAGTTGTTTGTTTACATACAAAAAAGATGTTTAGACTTTAAGAAATCTCTTTGTTCTTCTGTTGTTGAGTCTGTGAATTAAAATTGCATGTCTGTTCCACCAAGAAGGTGCATTCTTGTTTTTAAAAATGTAAATGCAGCACTAAAAACAGCTTCATCACATGCAAGTAAATCATGTGGAGCCTTCACTTCAGATCCTTGAATCAGATCACACAAATGTCACCAAGAGGAGCTATTAAAGTAAATTTCACATTGATGTACCATTATTACCTGAAATAAAAATGTATGCTAAAGAATTAATCTCGGGTTCATACAAATAAATAAGTGATATGTTTAATTCTTACCTTACTACTAAGAAGAGAATCCAGTACTACATCAGTGACACTGACCAGAGAAAAGGCAAAGTCTGTGGGACCTAACTAATTAAATTGGACAGATTTCAAATATTAACACCCTGAACTTTAAAGTCACTTGTTCCTCTTTTTTTTTTCTTGCATTTGTTAAGTGTAAAATTAATTTCACAATTTAAGAAGCAGTCATATTTCAATTACATTTCAGTACGCTTTCTGCAAAATTTGCCAGGCTCCAGGGAAATATTTTTTTATTTATGGAAAACATGTTCAAACCCAAAACTCATGGCCACTTTCATTCTCCAAACCCAGCAGGGTCAACACTACAGCAATCTCTGTGTTGGAAATACTCTTCTAGTTAGGGTTTCACTTTATTTCTGGGTTTGGTTTGCTGGTTTGTTCCTTCTACATGAGGAAAAGATTAAGCCACTCTGATGCTACACAGATGGCTCAGCTAGCTCAATGCAAATCCACCCCAATCCACTGCCCCAATCCCTGAAAACTTCTTGAATCTTGAATACTCTCACCTACTCATTCTAGTTCTTCTGGTACTATAGGAATTCCTTTTTTTCCTTACCTAGAACTGGGTGGTTCCTAGGATGGGAATGGAGGGCAGCAGGTTCCTTTCCAATGTCTCAGCCCAAGAGGGCCTGTTGTATGCCTGCCCAGGAGAAAGCACTGGAAAAAA